GTGTGTGTGTGCACGCGCGCCGTGTGCACACTATTGCTTACAGCAGGTAGAAATTGACTTGCAAGCCAGGGGGTTTTACAATGCAAAGTGGCTGTTTCAGGAAAATATTGCAGAGGATCAACTCTCCTGGGGAAATGGGCTGAGAAATGATGAGCACCTTTTTGTGCTTTCAGCATGTGATTGAAAAGGAGGAGCTGAAACTTCACTTACAAGCTTCCAAAGATGCTCAGAGACAACTGACAGCAGAGGTACTTAAGGCTTCTATATATATACATTTAGATAATGTTTGGAATAGAATACAAGAGAAAGAAAACTAGGAGAGAATGGGAACTATTGCTTTCTAATTATGTAGGGCTTTTCATTTTTCATTGTGGTTGGAGTCATATGATTGGAGGAAAAGAATAATTATTTTTATTTAAGTCTACACAAATATTGTTGTAGCTCACGGGAGTATGAAAGGCAAGGAAGGTGTTCCAAGTAAGGAGGTCTTACTATTCTTAGTAGTTGCGAGAAAAAGAGTGTTTTAGTGTGAATATTACTGATTATATCAACAATATTGTAGCTCATCAGATTTTAAGGAAGTTGTCTTTTTTGCTTCTTTTGTATCAGCAGTTACTGTATTTGCAATGTCACTGCAAAGTTTTTCGATGTATTTTCCTTTGAATTTTATCATACTTTTTCCTCTTTCGAGTCTTAATTGGACTTTGTGCTTCACCACTAAAATCAATGCACGGGCTATGCTGACCATCGTCCATTCCAGATGTTGGCCTGTGCCGTGCAGTTGGAAAAATATTACAGTGTTGAATCAGTCGATAGAGGTTTCTGTAGGAGTTAATTCAGTTTCATTCTGTCTTTTCTTTGAAGCTTACTGGTATCACGTGATGGCCTTTCTTCTCTTCCAGTTACATGAGTTGCAAGATCGGAATGCAGAGTGTCTAGGGATGTTGCACGAATCACAAGAAGAAGTGAAGTTGCTGCGCAGCAGAGCTAGCTCTGTTGCTTGTCTCTGTCGTCCTCACTCATGTGGAGCATTTCCTGTGGTAATAAATACCACTAGCATGGCATACGCCTACTGGCACACATGGCCTGTAGTAGCGTACAACTATATGAAAAAACCAGCCATTACAGGAGCTGCAGCAGGAGCTATTTTGTAGTAGGCAAAGGAGCTGATCTAATGGTTTTTCAGTTATTTAATGTGTACACTTTTGAGAATTTTATGTATTAGGAAACTAACCATTCACTTGACACATTGTGATATTAAAATTATTTTTCCTTTTTATATGCCTTTTCTGTTAAATAAGGGAATTGGCATGTTCTACAGCTAGTGCTCAGTTGTGTTAGTATATTGTTCAATGTTGATGTGAATTTTATAACTTGACAGTGTTTCTTTAAGAAACAAAGCATCTTTTCAAGAGTTCAAAGAGTATTTTTTTCCTTTATGTAGTTTATGATGTAATTTTATGTCCTTATCTTGTGAGATTAAATTTTAAGCGCCATCAGAAATGCATGACCTTAGACTAATTGCCAGAGATGACTAAACCAATGGAAAAGGGTTAAAGGCATTTATTTTCCTCTTCTTATTAGTGTCAGGTGTGTTCTGATTACTATACTCTCAAAAATTTCTGGGCTGTGCTGGGAATTTGTCAGGTTTTGGTTGGTTGTTCTGTGTATACAGAATCCCTCATGTACGTGTTTGGCCTTGTAAGAAGTGCTTTTACTTAACTTAAGCTTAACTTAAGAAACCAACATAAAGAGTACCAAGAAAAAGCAGATGTTGCTAATGAAAACTGAACCCATACTGGCTGTACGTAGGTGTAGTTACAGTAGAAAACTCCCCCACCTCCATGCCCTTCCATCAGAGACTGAAGGGTTTGTCCGAAACGTACTGATACCGGGGAAACACATGGAGATTTTTTGAGTATTTTTGTTTAGAGATGTTTGCTGCTAAAATTGTTAGGAGGAAGACTTGAATCTAATTTGGCAACTCTTCTGGTTTCCATTTTTCTCTAGGATTCCCTTGCAGCAGAAATTGAAGGGACAATGCGGAAGGAATTGAGTCAGGGTGATGAATCTGTTCTCTCCAAGCAAAAGTATGTTTTCAGATCTCTATGTGCTATTTCGGTATTTTTCCATATGCTTGTATTAAGTAAAGTGAAACTGATTTCTGGAAATCTATAGATGTGAATGTTCCCTTTATAATAAGTTTTCTATGTAACAATAAAAAAAGCTTTGTAGTACTTGGTAATCTTTTCAACTTTGAAACCCACTATTCTTAGTTGATTCTATGAGGAAGTTGGGAATTTGCTAAACGGATGTTATTTCATTCTTTAATTAGTGAGATTTTTGATGCAAATTCTCTGATGTACGGCACTAGTTTTATCCCTTTTAATGCTTATAGAAAAATTCTCAGGCAAGTGAAATTATAGCTGAAAGACTGGTAGCAGTTTCCAAAGCCCTGAAGATCTGTTCCTGGATCTCTTACTTCTGAGCAAGAAGTAATAAATTAAATGTATGCCTCTGAAAGCATATATAAATTAAATAAGTAAAATATATGCTCCTGAATGTTCTCAAGTGGTTATCAATGGAGGTTCAGGTCTTTCAGGTCAAAGTAAGTGGTAATTCTGATATTTAATAGAGTAGTACTCCTGAAAACATGAGTGTCTTAGGCAATCCTGTTTTTCTGGGCTTAAATCTTTTTAATCAGGTCTCTGCAGACTATTGAAAGTCTGTTGTCCAGAGCTTTCTCTTTATTATATCTTTTTCAAAATGCTTCTGAAAACCACATTTGTTTGCTTATGTTTTCTGCAGGGGTCAACAGAAACGAGTATTTGACACTGTCAAGGTTGCTAATGTCACTCGTGGCCGCTCCTCTTCCTTTCCTGCCCCGTTGCCAATCCCTGGATCTAATCGGTCAAGTGTTGTTATGACAGCAAAGCCCTTCCAGTCTGGCGTACACCAGTTGGAGGGCCACACACGGATGACCCAGAGGAGCAGCTCTGAGAAGAATTTGAAGTAGGAAACATAGCCTGTTACCTTCTTTCTAAACTACCTGATTCAAAACTAAATCCAGACTGGACCTCTGCTGTGTAAAAGAGAAATAGTTAATTTAATGGTCTTAAGATCTATTATTATTTGATGTTTCTCACAGAGACACTCATAATCCTGGCCAGCCGGGAACCCCTGGAGACAATGACTTAGTCACAGCTCTGCACAGGCTCTCCCTCCGTCGTCAGAACTACCTGAGTGAGAAGCAGTTCTTTGAGGAGGAATGGGAGCGAAAAATGCATTTGCTGGCTGAGCAGAAAGAAGGGGCTAGTGGCTGCAGTACACCAACAGAAAGCTGTTTTTCTCTGGGTACAAACTCAGAATTCACTGATCTCTCTGCCAGCTCTAGTAATCTCCGTGTCCTCCTACCAGAAAAATTGCAAATTGTCAAACCCATTGAAGGTAAGAGGATGATCTTCCTTCTCTCAGCAGCAGAAAAGGATTTTACATTAATTTGCCAACTAAATCATTGTTGGTGTGTGTATAGCTAGTTATGATATGCAGTAAGAGGAAGTAGTAGTATTTGGTAGGCTACGTGCCAACTAGCTCATCAGTATCACTTTCTACTTGGCTTTCTTACATGGTGCTAAGTGTTAGGCTTTTTCTTGGCATTGCCATCCAAGTGCATCATGTGTATCACAGTGTCAGCACCAGTTGGCTGGAGTTGTTTTGATGATGAATTCTTGTAACTCAATACAATAGTAGGTAATGGCGCACTCAGACTTTTCTCTTTTGTCACACCAGGATCTCAGACCCTTTTTCATTGGCAGCAACTTGCTCGACCCAACCTAGGCACCATTCTTGACCCAAGACCAGGTGTTGTTACAAAAGGTTTTACTCCTCTGTCTGATGATACTGTGTACCACATCTCTGACTTGGAGGAGGATGATGAGGAAGGTGAAGGAGGTATAACATTTAAAGTGCAAGAGTCCTTCCCGGAGGAAAAGAAATGTACAGTGGCAAAGCCAGTGGCAGGGATTTTCCTGCCACCTATTACTTCAGCAGCAGTACCACTCACCGGTAAGAAGCATGGTTAGTGTTTTTTTCTCTTTTTATTTTGTAGTGTCTGTTTCTCAATGGAAAGTATTTGACCTTGTGACAATGCTGTCTTTGCCGTCTTTGTTCTTTACTTTAAAAAAAAAAAAAAAAAAAGCAGTGACGATAACATTATCTTAAACTTTGCTTTGGTTAGTTCTTATCTGTCTTTATTTTTACCCTCAATGGATGTAAACTCTCCACGTTGCAGCCTCGAATCCAGGGAAGTGTCTGTCTTCTACAAATTCCACGTTTACCTTTACTACCTGTAGGATCCTTCACCCATCTGATGTCACTCAAGTTACTCCCAGGTATGATGACTGCTGACATCCTAAACGTTGCTGCATAGGATTAAACAGTTGCTTTCTGGCTTCTGATACATGGACCAGTTTTGAAAAATACCAAGGCAGCTGGGCAACACATAGGATGTTACTCATACAAATAGTTGTAATTACAAAGGGGAAACTTGAAATTCTCTAGAGTGAGAGTTAAAACAGGCTAGGGTAACTTAAAGGAAGTAAATTTATACTCTTAAATAGCAAATGCCTTGTATCATATACCTGTTGTTAAAAAAATAAAATACTGATTCTATGATAATTTTTTTTTCCGATTCTGTCATAATTTTTTTAAACTAAGTTATTACTGGACATCTATGTTGATATTCTATCTAATACAGTATAGGTGACCACAGAAGGTAAATTCATTGGTACTTACACCAAAACCTCTCTGTCAACCTAGTATCTTCTAAATGTTTTGCAGAACAACAATTCTGAATCTACTAAAGCTGATACTGTCACAGCTAATAGCAATAGTTTACTTTTTCTCAAGCCTTCTGTATACTAAAAGGCAAATACAGAGCAGAGGAGGTATAAAGATGTCTAATGTGTGCATCTTCTCTGTTTCATTTTTATTTTATTTCAGCTCCATGGGTGCCCCATTTTCACTTGGAAATACTGGCAGCAGTATTGGAAACCCAGTAGTGAACACTCCAGCCATTTCTTACAGGCTTAGTATTGGAGAATTTCTCACCAACAGAAGAGATTCAACTACTACTTTCAGCAGCACGAGCAGTCTGGCTAAACTTTTGCAAGAACGAGGCATCTCTGCCAAGGTTTACGATAGCCCTGTATTAGAAAAACTGCCTTTGCTACAGCCCCCTCGAACTCTCCCCATTCCTTCTACTCCACCAAATTCTCCCTCGCATTCACCTTGTCCTTCCTCTCCACTGTTTGAGCCTCGAGTGCATCACTCAGAAAATTTCCTGGCTTCTCGACCAGCAGAAACATTCTTGCAAGAAATGTATGCATTTTCACTGGAAATACTGGCAGCAGTATTGGAAACCCAGTAGTGAACACTCCAGCCATTTCTTACAGGCTTAGTATTGGAGAATTTCTCACCAACAGAAGAGATTCAACTACTACTTTCAGCAGCACGAGCAGTCTGGCTAAACTTTTGCAAGAACGAGGCATCTCTGCCAAGGTTTACGATAGCCCTGTATTAGAAAAACTGCCTTTGCTACAGCCCCCTCGAACTCTCCCCATTCCTTCTACTCCACCAAATTCTCCCTCGCATTCACCTTGTCCTTCCTCTCCACTGTTTGAGCCTCGAGTGCATCACTCAGAAAATTTCCTGGCTTCTCGACCAGCAGAAACATTCTTGCAAGAAATGTATGGCCTAAAGCCCTCCCGTAACGCTCCGGACGTAGGCCAGCTGAAGATGAACCTAGTGGACAGACTGAAGAGGCTGGGTATTGCCAGGGTGATCAAGCCCCCTGAGACACAGGACCACAGGAAGAATCAGGGGCCAGAGGTTAGCTTGCGGAGGCAGGACTCGGCTGTGTTTTTAAATGCAGGTAGCAACTTAATGGCAGGACTGAGAAGAAACCAGAGTCTTCCAGCCATGATTGGAGCATTAGGAGCTCCAGTTTGCACACAGTCATCAAAAATGGATATCCTAAAGGAGGACTGACTGGTCTGAAAAGTGATTGACTTCTAGCATAGTGAATAATACATGAGGGATAAACATCCAGTGCAGGCATTGTTAGATGTGTTACAGAAGGGTTGGAGAAGGCATGTGCATGTTGAAGATGTGGGAGAGAGAAGCGTTGGGATCAAGGAGAAGAAGAACATTGCTTGGGTTTGAGGAAGAAGGCTTTTGTGGAAGAGAAGATAGAAGAAACCAAAGCTTAGTTTTGAGACCCCCTTCAGCATCTGTCTTAACTTCAGCAAAAATAAAAGACCATTGTAGACATTCTCAGTATTTCAACCTTTTAAACTGTATGTGTAGAACTGTCTTGCAGGTGCCATTCTATTTTTCTCCTACCATATGACCATAGTATTTTACTAGTTGTTAGCAGTCAGGCTGTATCATTTAAATATAATATTGAAATAACAGTCAGTCTGACCAGCATTATTGGTCCAAGTTCCTCTCTGTAGCAAACAAATACGAAAATTTGGATTTTTTTTTTTTTTTATTATTCTTGTATTTCCCATTTCAGAAACTGTACTCTTTTGAACTCCTCCCCATTTTGAGAAGCAGGGGAGAGAACCTTTAGCTCTATGTAAGAAAACATTCTTGTATTCCCATTTCAGAAACTGTACTCTTTTGAACTCCTCCCCATTTTGAGAAGCAGGGGAGAGAACCTTTAGCTCTATGTAAGAAAACAATACTTCTGTTTACAAACACGGAAACTAGTGGTCAGGATTTATATTTTGAAAGAGTGCAATTATGCTAGTGAGGTATTAACAGAAGTTAATTTCTTTCCAGAGCTTCTGAAGCACACAGAGGAAGGTGCAATGAGTAAGAATTAAGAAACGGGAAAGTATGTATTGGGGTGAAAACTTAAAGCTAAGAAATCTTTCCAAAGTGTGCTGTGCATCTTTTTAAATGAGGGTATTTTTGCACACGCACACAAAAATCTCAGGCACATTTCAGTGTTGCAAAAGGAAATAAAACCTAGGTGCTTGATTCAGGATTTCTTTTTATTTTACATAAGCGGAGAGCATTTACTTCAAGACAAGCGTCGGAAATTCAGTAACCTGACTCTTCTCTTGACAGGTAGACATTATGTATATTTGCGAGTTCTGCAGTAAACTTCATGCCTTTCATTCACTTATTTCTGATTTTAGGCAGGATTTTGTTTAAAAGATTTCATTAAGAGCAAAATTTACCAGTCTATATTCAGAAACAGGAAGATGAAAGCTAGTGTTCTTTGTAGCATTTTAATGAACATAAATCAATTTTGTCTACATTGAAATCCTGTGTTTTGATGATGGAGAGTGGTTCTGAGCCTGGTTCTGAACAAAGCTGAGGCAGACTTTCTGTCTCAGAAGTCCAATTTAGATATCTGATTTCTGAGTGGTAATCAGCAAAATGTTACTGCCCATGCTGCTTTTTTGATTCCTTCCTGTCCAAGGTTCTAGTCGTAACTGAATAATCTACAATAGATTTATAGTGTAACTTAAAGAACAAAAAAAGTTTGCCCAAAATTCCTCAGAGGAATGGGTCTTCGCTAGTGACCTGAATGGAAACAGGTTCTTAATCTTTATGTAATTTTTCACTGTACCTATCAACATTTTAAAATTATTTTAAAGTTTCGTTTCCATGCAATTACGTAAAACAGTCAAAGTTTACCTTGCTTGTTACAGTGTATGTGGGACATAGCTGGTACCTGTCTGGGTGCGTGGTGTGAAGCATCAGTATAATTACACTGATTCGCGTTTGCCATTAAGGCGCATCTACCGTAATCAGCAGCCTTGTTGCTGCAGGGTTGAGTGGAGTAGGGCAGGAAAAGAAAGCTTCTTAACCTGGTTTATAGGAAATTTGTAACGTGGCCTTTCTGCTTTTACAGTTCTATAGATCTTGTGATGACTCTTTGATATAATAGTCTTCTTTTGTAAAAGGAAAAGGAGTAACCACTTCAAACTTGCACAGGGATTCTTAGCAGAAACTTGTCTGTCAGCAGCGCACAGAAATATTCAGGAACTCCTGGAGTTGCCTTTTGCTCTCTAAACAAAATCTTACACTTATAAAAGGTGAATTTTATTTAAAATACTATATACGGGTTAATTTTGTTTTTTAAATGAAAAATATTTTATTTCTTCATGTAAGTATTTATGTTTGTACATACTTAGCTGTGCATGGGGTCTTGCCTAGCTAAATAAGGTAAGAGTGAAAGGAGTAAGGGGAGGCACTTTTGCTCTCCTGTGAACGGAGAGGCAGGTATGTCTGCTGTGTATTTGTAACTTCTAGGGAAAAAACAGGAATGAGTTAACAAAAGATTAGGCAGTTTGCTATCAACAGAGAAGTGAACACTGTGTCAAAAGTATGTCCATTTTATGTGTGTTTATTATAGGAGTACATGTAAGTTACAGCTAAATTTTGAGGGTATTGCACTGTATTTCTAACTAGCTTCATTAGATAACTCCAGCCATTGGATCGTTCTGTGTGTTACCAGCAGAAGTAGCAAATCAGCTAAATCAGAATTCCTTTGGCAGACCAGGTTTCAATTAAAATTAATCTAAAAGCACATTAATTAAATGCATGTTTCTCTTTGGGACACTTCCATATTCCATAGCCCAACAATATAAACTGGATCAGTTCAAACAATACTATGGATATGTCGAGAGGTTTTGTTTGTTTGTTTGTTTTCTGTAGGATGACGTATCATCAGACACTTTACACAAGGCAAGAAGAAAATGGAAGAATCTGTTTACCATTGTGTTTGTGTGTTTATCCGGTTGGTTGATGCTGTGGTGCAGTGTTGTTGAAATTCTGTCATGCGTTTATGCCTTTGGATGGTCACATGCATTTTGTATATAGGTGCCTAGCTTGCAGCAACAGGGAAAATTGGTACTTCTTCCAAGTTTACTGTTTCGTGCCAAAACCTAGATTAACTTTTTTGAATAACGTCCGTGTTTCTGAGAACTTATTAAAAGTTGCCATCATTCTAGGAACTGATTTGGCTTCTGTTGCCTCCCATAAGAGAGGAGACAAACTTGCATGACTAAGATAGCTGAGATCCTGCACAAGATCTTTTGATCCTGCACAAGTGTGATTTGGTTGAGCGGAAGGTAGAACTAGAAGGAATGGAGAATTGCATTTCGGAAAGGTTCTGTTCTCTTGCAGGTTTGAGACAAAAACAGGTGCTAAAAAGAAAGGACTTGCCCACGCTTGTGAAAGTTTCAAGAGCCAGAAGGAAATTCTTGTAGTATTTACCTTTATTCAGATTGGCTTAAACCAAGCACAAATTTATAGCTTTCTAGTTTCACTGTTTTTGATAAACTCAGTGATGCCTGCATGCTCAAAATGCCTGTGGTCAAAGTTGAAAGTCTACTTGAGTCAAACAGCAGCAGAGAGGGAAGGAGAATATTGAGTTTGGGCCTCATTTGGCTGTTACACGAGGGGATTACACACAATGTTTGAACGGTCTGGGAGCTTCATGGTATTTTTGTCATCTGCTTTTTGCACTTACTGTTGTTTCATAGTGGAATGTAAATTTGATAATAAATGTGTAACATGCCATTTTTCAGTATATTGGTCATCTTGTGTGGTTTGTTCCAGATGTCATCTTCTATACTAGTGTTCTATAATAAATGTAAAATTATGCCTTTTGGGGCTAAAATTTAGTGATTGTTATACTGTACACGAGCTTAGTGAGTTGGTATCTGCACAAGTGGTGGCTGTAAAAGCTGAGAAATTCATTTAAAAACTTTATCGGGCTGGGCTGGGCTGTTTGCTGTTGTGTTTATACCTAAGCAGTTAAAGGTGGCAGATGTGCAGTACAAGCTGTGGTCTGACTTCGCACAGTAAATGTGCGATGCGTAAATCTAGAACGAACACTTACAGAGTACCTTCTGCTGCAGTTTGAAAAGCCTTTTACTTGAGAATGAAAAACTTCACAAATTAAGAATAGCTCATCAGCTTCTAGAGAGAATATTTGAATGTGAGCCTCACTTTAAATGAATGCATTCACGTTTTCTGGTACTTCGGGGGTTTTTGTGTGTGTGGTGTTTTGGGTTTTTTTCCTACTGTTATTTTACAGCAGCTAATATGTTCCTCTAGCATTATAGTGCTAGACAACACTGTTGTCTAACACCACCGCTGTTTTTCCATCTCAGTAGCTGATGTTATGTCAGCCCTCTATTTGTGATAAAATGGGGGTAGAGACTGAAACCAAGCTACTTACCCTTGAAGAGTACTCCCTTTGCATAGGTCTCACTGAAGTTCTTTTGGCACAGAGGTGCCAAATTCTTGCCAGTTGTGTCAGCCTGGGGCTGTGCATACCACCTTCAGCGCAAGCCCCTGCACTCATATTTCAGGCTGGAAGGTTCTGATCATTTTCACCAAAACACTCAGTTCCTTCAGTGGTACAGAATGGGAACAAGGTTGATTTGCAGTTAACAGATTCTTACTTGAATTAGTCTTAACAGTTACTGACAGTGGTTCCTCTAGTAGTCTGTGTGCGTGACATCTCAAAGAACCGAGAACCACCGTTACTCTATGGTAAGTATCCTGTGTTTATTTAGCTTTTATTTTAACATGAGAAGAAGGGCTTGCGCTCTTGTCAGACTGAAGTTGACTTTTCAGCTCAACTTTTCATATGCTGAAGCTTATGAGCTGGACATTTGAGGAGACACTATCTTCCCACTGTTCTCTGAAATTGTTACATCTATAAATGGTTAGGCAGGATCGAGCTGCAAGCTGGAACACCAGCATCTGGGTTGCAAGAGACGTTGACCAAGATTCCTTCACGAGTAAGTGGGTAGCTTACACTGTTTCCTGATATTCATTGTATTTATGCACACGAGTACTTAACACATTTGCATTTGTATTTGCATGTCCTCAGAACAGAGGCCTGTGTTACCAGCTTAACTAATGACATTACGGAAGTGTCCCCCACAGTGGAGAAGCATTCTGTCCATAGGCAGCTAAATGGCACCAGAGGAACGTTAGATACTGATAGAGTTGGGATTTCTGGCTACGTGCTCTCTCTGCATCAAAGCTGTTCATGGTGCATATGAAAAGAAAATTAATGTCAGTATGCAAGTTCCTGTTGAACTCGAGATTTCAGCTGTCCTGAAACGCCCGAGCCTGAGGAGTACAGCTGGCTGCTGCTTTGTAAGAGTGGACACTCTAAGTAAGAGTGTAAGAGTTTGGGGAGGGGGTTTTTTTTCCACTTGTTCTCTAGCACTTTGGATGTAGTAAGGGAAGAGAGTTGTAACCCCTTTGAAGCTGCAGGAAAAGAGCTAGAACTAACCACAAGAGCTCAGGCATGCCTGAGGAAGGTGCAAGGAAGAGCTTCCTGGAGAAAACAGGTTTATTAAGCCACCTAAATCAGTGGCACATTGGCAATTCTGAAAAGAAATTCCAGAGTGATTCGGCACTGATGAGACTTAGAAATGCCTTGAGCTCCTTTCTTGTTTTCCTTTTAGTTGGTCACACTGCTAAAAGAAAGATTTTTTTTTTTTTTTTTTACAGTCTCCCAGGAGCGA